CTAGAGAGAAACAGGTTATATTTTAGATATACATATGTTAAAGGTAGAAACTTGGAGTTATACTTGTACCAAAACATTCGTTTGTAATTTAAAACTAAGCCATAAATGAGGATGTTTTAGTTAACAAAATTCCACACCTCTTGCTTGAATAGCCTATAAAATAAGTAGAATTAGAAATTGTTGCTTTACATCCGTTGCTATGCTATAGTAAATAATCTATTGTTTCAAAATGTGGCTTTATTTGAAGTCCATTCTTTTTATTGAGAATTGACTATTAAAAATCCTTATGAAAGAATGTCAGTGGGTAACAATTTGAAACTTCTCAGTTGGAAATCCTTGCCATTTTCCCTTGTTTATTATAATGTTACAGAATACACAGATTCTTTTTCAGTTTGCAGCATGATTTAACATCTCCTTTGTACCTGTCTTTTTGATCTTTCCAAAACTGAAAGAGTTGTGTTGTAGGCATATAACTATCAATATATTCTTATTTCAAAGTATATGACATTGGACTTCATATTAAATTATTATTATTACTACATAAATCTTTGATGCAAGTTAGTATTAGCTATTGTTCAAAAGCAGTTAATTTTATAGTATGAAGCAATTTTAGGAAAATTACTTTCAAAATATCAGGTGATAAGCATATAATCAAGTAAATTATAGCATCAATTAGTACTTACTGAGTAAATATACGTGAAATTACTAGCTCGGGCAGAACATAATACATAAATTTTGTACCCTAGCAACGTAAATGTAATACAAAAAACTATTGTGCACTTTGTAAAATTCAAAATACGTAATAGTATTGGTATTCATATTTCATTAAAATATAAAATTTTCTACTTTTGTTTACAACACAATTTTTTTCATAGATCTTGACTCTTTTGAAAGCAAGTTATAACTGTTGCTTCAGATTTTCATTTAACAGCAAGAACAGATTGATAAGGGAGTTAAACTGCAAGTGCCTCATCACTAACAGTATTAATGATAAACTTTTTGGTATTTAAACATTCTAGCATGGTATCAAAAATCTATATGGATATACACTTTTTCTCATTCATTCCCATTGTGAGCTTTGTTAAGTGTGAAAAATAGGAGTAAGATTTATTGATGCCTGTTATTTGACATTCCAGCAAGGAGCTTGACATCTCATCATTACTGAATAAGCAGTTACTGAAAACAAGAAATATTTTAAGCAGAAATTTAAAAATTTAGAGTTCCTTTAACGAAGATTTAACTCAATCTTGGCTGATAACAATGATGATTATTTAAGAGGGTGAAGAGGGGTAGTAATCCAAACAACACTACCCGGAAGGAAGTCACCCCCATTATTATCCCTCCTGCTGCCTTTTGGGGTGCCATTAGCACTAAGCTAGATAGGAAGCTGAGGAGCCAGACCCTAATCAAGCGCTCCAACAGGTGTCCCAGTGTCTAAACCATTGCATCAAGTTGCCTCGCCCAACAATGACTAAAAGGAAAATGGAAAGTTTATATGAGAGAAAATCATTTTATATTGGAGAAGATAGTCAATCAAAATATGAATATAAGACCAGAACAGGAGGAACTTGGGAAATTGTTTCATTGTTAAGGTTTTTTAAAAAAGTTTACTGATATGTTTTAAGAGAAGAAAATATTTTTTTTACTTTAATTGTTCAGTTTATTTATTCCTATTGATCAACCTAATGGACATTAGCAGTCCATCACCCACTTAGCCACAGATGAGAGAAGTGAAATATCATATTTTGTTTTCCTCTATTTTAAACTACAAACAATCTTTCCCTCTTACTGTAGTTTCAATGTCCATAAAAGTCCATCAACTTACAGGAAAATCTTTTCTAAACAAATGATTTGTTTTTAGTTCCCCTTTATCTTACTGTTTAGTCTTTCAGTCAGTGTATTCACCAGCACAAATTTCTTCCAGCCTTTGAAATTTAGAGCCGGGCTTATGTTTTCAGGATGACGCCTTCCCCAGGTGGATTTAACTATTCTGTGTCTCACTAGAGCATTCTTCAAAGCCCCTGTCCTGTGAGCAGATCCTGATTGTGGACATTATCCATGCAGGGATGGATGATACTGCTGCATGATCACATATACTGCTCATTGTGACCTCTCTCCCCTTTGGAAAGCAGGCTGAGGTGGAATCTGGAATGGCAGGTGTAATTGGTAGCAGAAATGCTGCAGAGTTAGGAATGGGCAGATATCATCCTGGCTATATGTGTTATCTCAAATGGTGCATTATTCTTCACTATCGAGCTCTGTCTTGCTTTGTGTCACTTGAGACAATGCCTAATCCTGCAATGATTACAAGCGTTCTATAAGCAAAATGTTACTGGTGGCCTAAGCCACATGGACCCTTTCCCTCCAATAATGTGGGGCATTTCTTCTCTCCATTCCCACCACTCTTTCTCTTCTACAACCCCTAGGCAGCAGCCTTAAGAGTCACTTCTGCTACTGATTGTCTCCACTCAATTATTTTCCTTTTTGTCTTAAAGAATGCTAAATATATTTCACCCTGTGACCTCCTCCCCTTTTTGAGAGGCAGACACAGAGAGAAACAGCAGAACCTTCCTAGAGGAACTCCTATCTACTGATTAACTCCACAAACTGGTACAACAGGCCTGGAACAAGCCAAAGCTGGAAGTTTATAACCGAGTTTGGGTCTCCCATGTGGGTGGCAGAAACCCAAGCACTTAAGAAATCACCTGCTCCTTCCCAGGAAGGAAGAAATAACAAGAAATTGGATTCAGGAGCAAGGCTAAGAATAAAACTCAAGTACTGTATAGGATGTGAACATCCCTAGTGGTGCCTTTTTCTTTCTTAAGATTGATTGATGGACAGAGGCTCAACCCCTTGGGCCATCCTACTTAGCAGTGTCGTAACTGCTGTGCCAAACACCCAACGCACGCACACGTTTCCAAGTTCTTCTCTCTGCTTTCTTCTGTTTTAGCAGTACCCCATCCTGGTTCTCCATCTTCCTGTTAGACATTTCTTCTTTTCAGTCAGGAGACTTTCACTAATTATCTCATTAGGGATCAAGTGTCAATTACAACTGAAATTGTAATTAAAGTTGGTGACTTTTGTGTAGCTCTTTTTAGATCTAGACATATCATCTATCAGGCATAAATTTGAAGGTTTTATTTTTAACTTGTGCATTTCCTATTATTTTTATAATTATAAAGTTTAAATAAGAAGATGATAAATTATATAAATATAAGTAAATTATAGATTTAATATAAGTTGTTTATCTTCTAAACCATTTTATCTAGTCTACAGTACTGTTTCTTATTATAGAGTCCATAGATGCCGTTAAGAAATATATACAGTGGGGCCTATGTGGACACTGCAGAATTCTGTCTCTCGAAACAGTTAATGCATAATGCAAAACATTTCTACAGTTGTTACATTTCACATAATAAAAGATTTCATCCAAACTCCATAAATAATTGTCTTTTTTGAGAAAAAATTCTTTGAAATCCTACTGTTGTCATATGGTATAATCATATGTTGAAGTTATCTATGTAGAACAGAAAATATTTTGGAGAATAATTAGAATCTTGAGAATTTAAAAATAATATTACCTCACCCCTTTGTGGTGAGCACTGCACAAGTCACATTCATGTACATTAGTTCATATAGTCTTTACTTATTATTTTAAAAGTACAGCTTGGAGAACTTAAATGACTTCTCCAAACTTATACAATTAAAAGTGAGAAGATAATATAGGTATTTTGTCTGGGTCTAATCCTATATCCATTTCTCCCAAATTATTGTCCTCATGCTAAGAAAGTAAAAAATTTCAAATGAATATATAATTAAATTTTGAGGGAACAAAATGTATGTTTTATAATTTTGATATTTCTGCACTTCAGTGTTCAAAATTCAGTTAAAAATATCTCTGTTGATGTGGAAAAAATCAACAAATAATTCTACCTTCTAAATAATTTAAATGGTTGTTAACTAATGGTATAAAATTATAGTAAGAGGCCAAGTCAAAAGGTTCTTGCATATGTCATTTTTTTGTTTTTAGAACTGCTCAGATGGCCACAAAGGTATCAAATAATAGATGTCTCAACTGTTTTTAAATGATCACAAATTGATTGTATCTAGCAGTTACTGGATAGGATTTTACTCTCACAATGTTTACCAAGATAGAGCTTAAGAACCTTAGGAATTTAAATCAATTTAATTTTACTAAGTAATTTATATATTTAATTTAAATAATTTTTCTTAGAGGGGAAACAAAACAAGTGAAGTGTTCCACAACTAAGGCATTTACTTGTTTCAATTAAATTTTAGGACGGTAATTTAGATTTGTATAAAATGGCCTACCTTATTTTGAGCTCATTGTATTTATGATATCTCTGACAAGATAGTAGAAACAGATTTACCTACGAAGTAATGAATGTGCACATTTTTCTTTCAAACATGATAAATTCATAAGAGATTTGAGAAATGTATAATACCTTTAGGTAGAAATTTAATTTTGAATGAAAATTAATTTAACAGCTATGTGATTTATGTCTGTGTATTCAATTTACATAAAATAGGACTTATCCAAGCATTTCTAGGTTGTGTGGCCAATAGCTTTGCTCCTAAATCACAAAGATGTTTATATCTCTGGCACTTTTTAAATCCCTGGAATATTTTACATTTTAATATCAAATAATCTAAGACTTTTTGAACAGTAGTTTCCTTGAATGCATTGTTTTGTCACGTTTCTGCTCTATAGTTGTTACTTGGTTATCATAATTCTGATATGCTTTATAACTTGTGATGAGAGATAAGCATTTGGACAACTTATTATTCTAATGAAATATATACTTAGGAGCAAAGCTGTTTCGATGTTAATTATGAGAAATAATACTGCACTGCATCTGTTAGACAACATAACCTAATCATAATGAGCTAATCTCACTCTTTTTTGGACTCCTACATTAACATAAAAATGCTTTATATCATCTATATAATTTTTTCTTCTGTTTGTCCCTTCTTTATAGTTGTTTGAAATTACAGTGCCTCTCTCTCAAGGCCCCAAACCAGTAACAATCAGTTTTGCCAATCACACTTCTTGCCGATGCATGTCTAAACTGGATGTTTACAGACAAGTTCATTCAATTATTAGACGCTCCCTGCCAGCAACACTAGCACAGTGAGTATGAACTAAATCTATTTTTTGCATCCTTTACTAAAGTAAAATCATTTTCAAGTAAACATATGACTATTTTAAGATGTTTTATAAAATTTGTTATATTATCATTTGCAGCAAGTACAAAACAAAGACAAAATTTTTTATAATGTGCCATAAAAATAAACTAAAATTGAAAGAGGGACGTTGATTCTATAGGCAAAGTAGTTCACAATATAAAAGAAGTATTTCTATGGAATAACATTATCCCCATCAATGTTCATAACATTAGTAAATTATAATAATTCACTTAATATTCATGAAATCAGGCATGCTCATTCAAAACGATGTTAAAGCCCAAAACATTTAAACCTTGATAACATTTTAGTCCAAAACAGAGAGTGAATATAAATAATTTTACATCTGTTAGCATTCGGCTACCATTCTTCAGTCTCAGTTATGTCTCTTACTTCAGCAAACATTGAATATTCAAATAGCAATTAATTATTTGAAATAATTTTCTTTCAATATTATCTCAAGTTAATATTATAGACATCATTTTTATTGAAGTTTCTTTCCTATTTCTTAGTTTGGCATATGGGAATACATGCTTCATTTGATCATATAAGGTCCTGACCCTGTGAATAATTAATAATGAATCAAGATGTGCTGCCATCTGTGATGTAGGAGAGTTCTGCCTTACAATAGGGATGCAGCTCTTTGTTCTTTAGGTGGCTCAGTGCATACGAATAAAGACTAAGTAATTCCAAGAGCTGATACAGAATATAAGGAGGTTGTTGGGCAAACATATACAGTATATTATAAAATTTTAAAGAAAACCTTGTGTTTTAGAAGACTCATCAATAAATATAACATGCTAATAGGGGTCTTTCCCACTGAATCTATTTGTACTATTTCACTTAGTGTAGAAGATAGGAAGTAGGCTTTGGATGTCCAGGGACATTTCAGAAGAAGAAGAAGAAAAAAATTTCTCTGGAATTAGCCTAATTTATGTGACATGGATCTGTATTTCTTGGCATGAGAAAGAAAACAGATATCTGTGAACAAATAGATGCCAATATAAACAAGGAAAACTACCATAGGAACCAAAAACGGTATCTCTGTTCGCTTTCACCCATACAGTCTGAAACTTGATCCCTGTTAAAAATAAGAGTGGGAATATGTACAGTTACGCACAACTCACTCAGACTTACCCCTAATGGTAAAGCTATAAACATGCCGTGAGATTCCAAATCCCATTAAGTTGGCAGGTACCAACGCCATCTTTTTTTTTTTTTTCTTTTTTGACAGGCAGAGTGGACAGTGAGAGAGAGAGAGACAGAGAGAAAGGTCTTCCTTTGCCGTTGGTTCACCCTTCAATGGCCGCCATGGCCAGCACACTGTGCTGATCCGATGGCAAGAGCCAGGTGCTTCTCCTGGTCTCCCATGGGGTGCAGAGCCCAAGTACTTGGGCCATCCTCCACTGCACTCCCTGGCCACAGCAGAGAGCTGGCCTGGAAGAGGGACAGAATCCGGTGCCCCGACCGGGACTAGAACCCGGTGTGCCGGCGCCGCTAGGTGGAGGATTAGCCTATTGAGCCATGGCGCTGGCCACCAATGCCATCTTACTAGTTAAAGTGATCAGTTTAAATTCATAATTTATCATAAAGATTGGATTAAGTGTCAAAGGGATCATGTAATAAGACTGCTAATACTAATTGATAGAACTAAAAAGGAGAGAACGATCCAACATGGCAAGTGGGATACACAGCAGACTCATAGAATGGCAAATGCCCTAAACAGCACTCTGGCCTCAGAATCAGCCCTTAAGGCATTCATATCTGGCTAAAAAACCCATGAGAGTATTTCAGGCATGGAAAGCCAAGACACTGTGGCAAAAAATGACCTAAATGAAAGATCTCTATGAGTGAGATCCCAGCGGAAAGAATGGGCCATCAAAGAAGGAGGTATCTTTTTCTGAAGGGAAGAGAGAACTTCCACTTTGATTATGGCCTTGTCTAAATAAAGTCAGAGTTTGTGAACTCAAGAGGCTTCCATAGCCTTGGCAGCTCACGACAAGAGCCTAGGGTGATTACTGACGTTATAAATAAGAGTGTCAATTGTTAAATCAACAACGGGAGTCACTGCACACTGCTCCCCATATAGGACCTCTGTCCTTAATGTGTTGTACTATGAAAATTAATGGTAAAACTAGTCTTCAAACAGTACTTTATACTTTGTGTATCTGTGTGGGTGCAAAACTGTTGAAATCTTTACTTAGCATATACTAAGTTGATCTTCTGTATATAAAGATAATTCAGATAATTGCAAATGAATCTTGATTAAGAATGGGATGGGAAAGGGAGTAGTTGATGGGATGGTTATGGGTGGGAGGGTGGTCATGGAGGGGAAAACCGCTTTAATCCAAAAGTTGTACTTTGGAAATTTATATTTATTAAATAAAAGTTTTCTAAAATAAAAAGATATGACAACTCATTTACAGTGACACCTTGCACATAAACACATAGACTCAAGAAGAGCTGGAGTTTAATTATTTCTAAAGAAAATTATTAGAATTATTTTCCCCCTAAAGATTTCTCCAGATTTTCAACAAAACATACATATTTAAAAGAAACATGACACTGGAGAATAAAGTAATAATTATGCCTAATTTTTTTTAAAAAAAAGGTATTCTAAGAGACTAATCTGGACATCAACAACTTAGAAATAATTTTTTTCTAAAGGCATAATAAAACTAAATATCCAATTTTTTTGTTATAACAAAAGTTAAAACTTTAAGCCCAAAATATGCTTACAGTTTTTGTTAGTCCAACAGCCTACTAGATACTTCTGCCAAGTGCCTCAAATGCAACAGGTCTAAAGCTTAAATACCAATTTGATTCCTGCATGTACAAAAAACAAAACAAAAAAAATGAAAAAAAATTCTATTGACTTTCCTATCCCTGCTTCTCTTTGAGACGTTCAACCATTATCTTTGTATTCACGATTTTCAAAATGATATTTGAAAACCTGACTATATTTGGCTTACAATGTATTTATCTAAACCAGTCTTACATTGCTATAATATATTAGCTGTAAGTACAGGACTGAAGACATTAAATTCTTATATTCTACATTATTCGTAGCAGTGTACTTTGCTTTGCTTTGGAGCTTTGAAATCACACAGTTATCATTAATTATTTCTTCTTAAATCCCACCCAAACATGAGTGATTACTGGGGGAGAAGTATCTCTTCTAACATCGTTCACATCTAAATTTGTATCGCCACTCTATCTCTTCCATCCTTCATTCACTTCATTCTGGATATATATCTGATTTTTTACGGTGGTTTCCATACCAGTTTTCCAGTGTACAGTCTTTTCCCACTCCTGTGTAATGTCACAAAGCAGGCTTTAAAAGACATCACTCCATTCATCTGACCAGAGAAGTTAGTGCTTTTCATCTGTTCAAAGAATTGAGCACACATTTCTCATCATCCTGTACTGGCATCAGCCTTCCTTTCTCGTTTTGTCTCCCATTATTCACCAAGTCTGTGTTTCACAAAGTCACCAAGCTCATTTCCTGCTCGGTATCTTGTTTCTATTCTGGCTCTGGGTTGAAATAGGTTCCTTTTCTTTTCTGACTTTCCAAAGTTCTATCCATTTCTCAGAGTTCAAGTAAAGGTCTTACTCCTGCATTTGTCTCATCCAAACACCAGGGCTACCTTTGCTTTTTGAAAACACATCATAATTACTGGATTAATTTTGCCCTTGCATGGCTTTGTCACCACCTCTAAATGTTGCATGTGAAGCTAGATTGTGAGAGTGTTTGGGGAGGGCTAATACTCTCTGTAATATTCAGTTTATAACACTCAAAGTTATTGAGCTGTAAAGATGCTCTCAACTCTTTTTGTTTCATTAAACCCTCACAAAATTCTTCTATGAGGTCAGTAGTAATGTTAGCCTTATTTACAGGTGAAGCAGGTAACACATTATAAAGTTGTGAGAGAAACAGTGTACTGCCCTAAACAATAAATGCTTGTTAAATAAAAATAACTTACTTGTCTGTATATATTTCATAGCATTGGCATGTTTTACTCATGTTTTCATCATTATTTATAGAACTACTGTATACACTGTTTGAGGTCAAGTGACAAAGCTGAAGCAAAAAGAATATTTATTTCTCCGTCACCACGTAAAACAAAACCTCATAAGATTGAAATACAATGATTATTGATTTCCGTTGTTTAAATTTACCAATACTTCATTCAACGTTGTATGTCCAAGTAAAGAAACATAGTGACAAAACAAAAACATGAGCATCACTACTTATCTTGCTTCCTCTGTATTCCTATCCCCATTTGTGGTGTCCATATAACTCACAAATCTAGCAGTCATATGCTTAACCAGTTGGTGACTACACAGTGGGATTCAGACAGTAGGGGGCTTTTTTTCAAATGGCAGGCCTACTGCTCTAAAATAGTCATTTGCATTCATAAAAAATGAGAAGGTCAGGTGTATCACTTCAGCTTTTATGTGACTATTCTATTAGCCCTTCAAATATTGTTAGAAAAATTATTTAAATAGTGGTATTTTCATTAATAAGTGTAACCTACCATTTCTCCCTTTTGTATTTCCATCCATCATTTTTTCTGTCAGTAGGCTAATGGAAAGAAACAAATAGTGACATAAACAGATACAGGCACAAATTCATGTGAAATCCGTAATCGTCAGTGAAAGAAAAGATAGGCATATTTATTTTATTTGGGCATTTTACTGTGAAATGTGTGCCTTTTCATTTTAAATGATATATATATATATATCTTAAAATGAATGCGTTTCTAATTGGTTTTTGTATTACTGAAGAAGTTACTTCATAACATTAAAATAAAGGCCACTTTTATTAACTACTTGCCATTCACCGTTAATCATTGTTGCAAAAATATAAGCAAAATGAACTCAAGATGAACACATTTCAAAGATATTAAGGACAAAACTGTTGAGACATTTTGTCCAGGACATTGT